AAAAAGGGGTATCTGGGCATAAAAAATTGCTTATAACTCAAAAACTATTCAACATAGGAGCTTCAGATTTTGGGTAGTTTAGCTCTGATGAAGGGCTATCCATTGGGCCCACCAATGAGTCCCCCACCCCCACAGAATCACACCCAAAATGATAAATCTGTTCTGGTGAATTGGTGCTTTGCGTATGTGCAAGGGTCATATATATACTACTGCTATCTGGTCTCTAGTCTTTCATTGTGAGATAATGTTTTATTTGGGCCAAACTGTGGAACAGGTGCACCTTCTTCTCTGAATGCTGAGAACTGTTTCGTTAAATTGTAGATTTTTTGCTCTTCTCTTAATAACTGTTTTCAGTATTCAGTAGTCTTTCATAAATGTGCAGGAATTCACAACAATGTGCACCACTGAGCATTTAGTCAGGCAGGACTGTGTTTAATAATTTCCATGTTTATTCCAGATTAGTGTATTTTTGCTCAGACTGGCAGGACTGCTGGTGGAAGCTAACAAGCTTTTCAGGATAAATGAATTGAAATAAGCTCCTAAAGGTGTTACGAACGGGCCAGATTTCTTTTAATTTCTCATTGCTTCACTTGTTTGGTGATTTATAATGTGCTTTTTTAGTTTGCTTGGTGGTGTACTCAGAGCTTATTTTTTCTCTTGTTTTTCCTGTCAGCTTTGTGTGAACGTCTTATTTTTTAGCTCAGTGTTCCAGTCAATTCCACACAATCGCTAACTCTGTTTTTATTTTTCTTTCCCCCTTTTCACAGTTACACTTGGTGTGGCTGTCACTGTTTTGGTTATGAAGCGAGCTGTTGCTGTTTGTTTAAATGTGTAGAAAATTACTGAATGATTATATATATATATATACATACACACACACTGGAGAATTCTGATGTAAATGGATTTCCTGTTGAATTATTCTGAGAGGAAGAGTTTGTGGAGGAAATCTTGTTTAGTTTTTTTCCCATGTCATTTGACATATAATACACACACAGACTCTCACAGTCTAGTTAAACCCACGAATGCAGACAAATAAAACTTTAAAGTTCTATTTATTAAAACAAAAGAAAACAAAAGCAATTTAACAAAACTTATGGACCCAGGGAGGAACATGGCACGAAGCAAACCCACCCAGAGCTAACCTAGACGGACTGAGGATGATCTTAATAAGGTTGAAGAGATAGTTGAAAATGTGTTTTGATGGACAGGTGAGAGTGGGCGTGGCAGAGCAGAGGAGCAGAAAAGGACAGAATGACCAGATGATACAAGCTAAATACAAAAAAGAATAAAGATGATGAAACCCAAAACAACTAAAGGATAAAGATTTTGACACAGTCACTTTGTCAACGTGCTCAAAAGTTTAATAATTTCACTGAAATACATTTGTATTAAATATTCAGAATGTTTCGTTTGTATGTTCAAAAAATTAATTAATCCAATCATGAACGTTWACATGCCCCACACTTATTTAGAATAGAACTGACACGCAGAGCTGTAAACTTTCCCTAAATAACATCTACTTCCATGAGAAACATAAACAGACAATAAAATTTTGAGCTATTTCAAAAATTCTAATAGAAATGTTGCATCGCTAACCGACCAGTTGTGTTTCACKGACATGTTAACATCTAGCYAAGTGGAAATACAACAGGTTGGGCGCACACACAGTTAGGTCAGTTTTCCACAACCAGATTAAGRCTGTGTCTCAATTCATGAGTTGCAGCCGATGTCGGTCGTGTTTGTCACTGCCCTCACGCCGTAAACTGTCCCAACTYGTAGGCTTCTACTCATGACAAAACCCCAAAAATRTCGGCTTCATCTGAGAATCCTACGCGGCCGACAGCATCCCAGAATTCAGTTAAGAATAGCAATTAAGGCCTGTGTCACACAGCAAGAAAATTGTGTCGAATTTGGGCCCAAATTATCCCTTCCGACAATCATAAGGACATCACATCATCATGATGGATCGAAAGATAATCTTAACAAACATTCCTGTCATCTGTGCTGAGTTAAGAGTAGCCATGTTTCCATCCAATTTTAATTTGAATTATGAGCAAATTTTTAAAATATCGCAAAAAGGAAAAAAAAAAGATGAAATGCGAATCAGACATGTTTCCATCAACTGACTTGAAGCGAATCAACCAGGCTACGCAAAGTGTAATTACGTCAGATACATGGCTGTAGTAAACTGGAAGTAGAAGTCGCAAACTCGCAAGAACTACACATCTCAGGACAATGAAGAGAAGTTAGGAACGTGTTGCTACTATGGGGGAAGTTGTAATTATTCTGTCGTATCARCTAGTTTTGGCGATGTTACGTKCTGTCTGGAGACGTAGAGAAAGAAATGCAGTTCTCTTCACATTACGAGAATAACTTAGACGGCGTCAACAGCGGGAGGAGGGTCCTGCTGCAGCCGTGGCTGCAGTCACTCTGGTACCTGTGATTGACAGACAGCGGGAACAGCTGACCAACCATGTGAGGTATCGTATTTATTCAAGTATAATACGTAAAATTAAATCCATAAAATCATACATAAAGTTGGGGGGTAGTACTATACTCTGATAAATATTTTTACTTATGTATTTTAACTGAAATATCGGCTTCATTCACAAAATGCCTGAGTCCGGAAATGAGACTGCGTCATAAAAAAGCAGTTGAAACGAGCTTACCTCTGATACTCCTTTGTGCTTCAGAGCGAGATATTAACAGATCCAGGCAGGAGACATGATGTGAAAAAAGGGGGAAAAAATCAGTCCTGTACCTTAGTAATGATAACAAACTAATGACATTAATGGGCCGCTCCTCGAACAACAACAAACACATGTTCGTCTGTAATGGCTGCCGTCTACCGGTGTTCTGAAAAAGTTTGTATCCCTGAAAAAAGTTTCCCCACCAGAGGGGGCGCTCACGAGTAGGAAGTAATCTGCTTTTCCTCCACAAGATGGTCCAAATCTCATGTGAAGTCTGACTTTTGTGTTGGCTCATCCTGGTGGACTATGTATAAA